GTTGCTGGTGCTGCAGGGCTGAATGTTCATGGGGCAGTCTGGGAGCACTCGGACTTTGCTGCTCGTTGGGCAGTGCCGGCAGTTGAGAGTTCTCTGGCCCTGTGTCAAAAGAGTTCTCCAGCCCTGTGCCAACAGGGGGCGCTGCTGCTGGCTCAGCCTCTGGGATTGACTGAGGTGCGTGTCATGCCTGTCCCCGACCCGGCACTTGGGAGCCTGGAAAATGAGGACTCTGCACCTTTAACAACCTCTGAAGCACAAGAGTCCTCATCAAACCTAAGTGCTGGGGAGGATGAAACCAAACTACAGGACATCTGGCACATCAGGCAATACCTGGCCCTAGCAGCTCGCCACCCGACTCACCGCCACCTGTGGACTGGCTGAGAAACCAGAGACACCGGGTCTGGCAATCAGGTGCAAGGAGGCACGCTTGCGTGGATCGTTAAGCCCTGATTACTGACAGAAGCAAGGACTTCGCAAAGGAATGTTAACAAGATAAGGAGCCAGCACACTATTTGAAGAGACCGCTGGCTGCAAGCAAACTGTGCTGGCAACCTCGTCTGTGGACCAGATGCTTTCCACCTCTTGCTCTGTGTTGGCTCTTGACTGATCTCTAGGTTCCTGAATCCGGTCCGTGTTTTGGCGATCCCTCTGGCTCCTGACCCCCCGGCTATGCTTCTTGACTACGATACTGGACTCTGACTATTGGTAACGTTGACGATGGCTTGGCTCTGTGTATTTGGAACTGTTTGCTTGGACTCTAGTTGCTCCCTCTGGCTGACTTTTGGACTTGCCTTTTGACTCTCCCTCTTTGCCCGGCCCCTTGGCTCTGTCGTGACAGTGCGTTACAATAAGAGAAGTCTTCTCTTGGGTCATTCGAGTCCACTGTCTCCGTTTCTCAAACCCAACGCTGCCGTAGCTGATCAAGGTGCCAGCGCAGGCTCCTACCCTCAGCGGTAGATACGATGTAGGAGACTGGCCCAGTGCTGGCGCTTACGGTGGCTTCGCATTGGTCCTTCACTGTGGTTCCGGGCGTAGACAAGGTCGCCCAGCTGAAACGAGCGGATGGGCTCCAGAGCCTTTCGGTGTGGCGGTCGGTCAGGAGTGAGGTCCGGGTGCAGGCGGTCCAACACAGTGGTTAAGCGGCGGTTCATCAACAGCTCCACTGGGCTGCGGCTGGTCATTGTGTGCGGTGTTATGTGCTGCTGGAGTAGAAAGTCAGCCAACCGATGGTTCCAGTCACCATAGGCTAACTTTTTCAGTGCATCCTTCGTTGTGTGGACCATTCTTTCGGCTTGTGGACAGCTGCCGTTGTAGCTTTTCATTTAGCAGGCCGCAGACTGACCGGTCTTGAAGCATGTCACTCAGATCCGTAAAGTTGCATTGTCTCGCTGTTTTTCGGAGCACGGCTACATATTCTGCGATGGACTCACCCTTCGCCTGGTCGCGCTTGTGGAAGGTGTGCTGACAGACAATTTCAGATGGCTTCGGGGTGAAGTAGTCACGCAGCTTGTCAGTGATTTCAGAAAGCGCTGTGTCTTTCAGTTCTGCAGGCGCCACTAGCGTCCGGGCCACATCGAATATGTTTCTTCCACAGATGGTCAGGAACGTAGCTTTCTTTACCACAGGATCTGTGGTTTTGGTCGCTGTGACATAGAATTCGAACCGGGAGATGAAGGTGTCCCAGTCTTCAGTGCTCACATCAAATGGCTCGAATTGGACCACGGTGGCCATCGTAGTCTCACTTGAGGATGGTGACGCTTGCTCGCTGGCGCCACTCGGGACCAAGGCAACAGTTCCTTGGTTGTCTGTTGTGATTAGCTCTGAGGGGCCAAGGCGACAATTCCTTGCCTGTGTAGTGATTCAGCTTGATGGTTCTGTGGGGCTGCCTACCCACTACATCCCATCCTCGTCGCCAGTATTATGAACTGAGATCGAGGCAGCTCTTAAACAAGGTGATTTCTTTATTCAGCTCATAACTTAACACAGGACAAACATAACACAGAACAAGCCAACTTTATACGTTTTGAATTGGTAAAACCACACCTCTAAAACAGCTAAAGTCCAATGAGACTACTGCGCTTAGGACCAATGGGGATTGTTCCCGCCAAAGTCAATGTCTCTCTGGATTGGTCTGTTGCCAATCCTGTTCTTGCATATCAGGCTATGCATCTAGCACATAATAATAACTATATATATAACAATAGGATATGCTGTAAGACATGTGTGGTTGTGGAGCATGCCTTTGGCCAGCTGAAAATGTGGTTCCGGTGTCTGTGCCTCAAAGGTGCAGGCTGGTGAAGTATCCCACCATGGTGGCACAGGTCATTACTGTGTTTGTCATGCTGCATAACATTGCTGTATGCCAGCAACCCCATTTGACCATCATCCTGGGTCCACCCAAGGTGCCTGGAACCTGAACCCAAACCCAAAGACTAGGTCTCAAAGAACCCAAAGACATAGCATCACTGGGGAACTGCCTCCAGAGATTGGGTCATGGCCCAGATACACAGTAACACAACATGATGGTAGGAACAACTACTAGGTGACCCCATCACCATCCCCCTTTCCTAGCAGGCCATGGCTTGCTCTGTAGGGTCCCCCACAGTGCTGACATCAGTGCTGTGTGACCACTCTGTTGAGCAGCTCCATAACACCATCCTGGCAAAAGGTTGTCAAAGCCACTGTAGGAGGGATAAGTTTGGGCTTGATGACATCCATGTGATCCCTACACAATTCCCAGTGAGGCCCTGATGGAGGCGTGGTGGTCCCAACCAGCACCCATAGCCTGCTGAGGCCATGAATGTGATGCTGTGGGCCATTTGTCCCCATGTGGATGGCCAGCACTATAGCCCTCAAAAGGTCTTCCTGCCTAGTCATCTAGCAACCCTGCCAGGATCTGGGCCTGGCATATAGCATAAGCCGACTTAAGGCTGGGCATGGTGGCATGCACATTCTAGAGCCTGTTTCATTGTGAAAGTGTAAGCCACAAGAAGACAAGAGTCACTGGAAAACACAATAATGCTAGTAAAAGCTGAATGCAGCAGGAAAAGAGGAAGACCTAACATGAGATAGATTGACTCTATAATGGAAGCCACAGCCCTTAGTTTGCAAGACCTGAGTAAGACTGTTAACGATAAGACATTTTGGAGGATATTAACTCGTAGGGTCGCCATGGGTCAGAGACGGCTTGACAGCACTTAACCCACATGCACACGCCACAGTACCTCTGTTAGACTTTAAGATGCCACAAAAGCACCTTTCTGTTAAACATTAAAACACTCACAGCTGCTAACCTGGAATCTGTCCCCTTTTAATGCCAATTTATGCAAAGATTCAGGTGGGTAGCCATGTTGGTCTGAAGCAGCAAAACAAAGTCTGAGTCCAGTGACACCTTTAAGATCAACAAAGCTTTAGTCAAGGTATAAGTGTTCTTGTGCATCTGAAGAAGTGTGCGTGCAAATGAAAGCTTATACCTTGAAAAAAACTTTGTTGGTCTTAAAGGTGCCACTGTACTCAAACTTTGTTCTGATTTATGGATAGTGACTGTTTAGTTTGGCTAGCATAAATAGTAGAAGAGCATGACTGAATCATGTTTTCATGCTACGTTAGAAGATGTGCAGGTGAATGAGCACGTAATAGTATGGCTGCTGTTGTTGGCTAAATGCGTGGACTCTAATCTGGGAGAACCAGGTTTGATTCCCCACTCCTCTACTTGTAGCTGCTGGATGACCTTGGGCATGCCATAGTTCTGTCAGAGCTGTTCTCTTAAGGACAGTTCTGGAAAGAGCTCTCTCAGCCTCACCTACCTCACAGGATTTCTGTTGTAGGGAGAGGAAGGGAAAGGAGTTTGTAAGCCGCTTTGACTCTTCTTCTTACTAGATCAGACCAGTGGTCCATCTAGTCCAGCATCCTATTCCACATAATAGCTAATCACTTGCCCTGGAGGACCAAATACACAAGACATAGAGCCCGAGGCTTTCCTCTTGTGATGCTTCCCAGCACTGTATTCAGAGGTTTGCTGCCTCTGTATGTGAAGGTTCGCTTCCAGTCACCATGGTTAGGAGCCGTTGATGGACCTCTCCTCCATGAATCTGTCTAACTCCCTTTTAAAGCTATCTATGCTTGTGGCAATCAGTATGTCCACAGGCAGCGAATGCCATCATTTACTTACTTCTGTGACCATGGGGACAAAATTGACACCAGAGTTGATTGCAGATCTGGTCCCTGGGTTTGCCTTTCAATTGTTGGTGAGTACCTCTGGTACTCTGATGCTGGGAAAGATTGAAGGTCAAAGAAGATGGGGACAGCAAAGGATGAGATGGTTAGACAGTGTCATAGATGCAACGAACATGAAATTGAGCCAACTTCAGAGGACGGCGGAAGACAGGAAGGCCTGGCGTGATCTGGTCCATGGGGTTGCGAAGAGTCGGACTCGACTGTGCGACTGAACAATAACGACAAACCTCTGGTTAGGGAAAGTCTCTAATCAAGGACCAGCCATTCCCTCTTTTTGTGCAAGACATCCTTCAGCCATCCTGTAGAATTTTAATTCAGAATCATAGAGCTGGAAGGGGTCATATAGGCTCAGTGCAGGATCAGCCTAAAGCATCCCTGTCAAGTGTTTGTCCAGCCCCTGCTTGAATAGCACAAATATGTCCTTCTTGTGATGGCCACTAGTTTAGATGGCTTTTAGAGGCGATTAGACAAATCCATGGCGAAGAAATCATCAGTCACCATGGAAATTACGTGGTGCCTCCATGGTCAGAGGCAGTATACCTCTGTACGAGCCAGGGTCAGGGACTGGTTTGTGGTGTGAGGGGAGATTCTGCTGGGCTGTTCGAAAGTAAAAATATCTGCGTTGTGACAAACGAAACTGTCCTGCCCTCGTCTGGCCAATTTGGGGAGAGGTCTGGACAGCTGTTCTGTACAACGCCGGCCACATCCCTGCTGGAGATGAGCCCAACAGGAAGTCGCTCGCATGCGTTGTCATGTGAGCCATCATGGCTGCGTCCAGCTGGCTGCTCTTGTGTTTGTTGAGGGGCGCCATCGCCGCGGCCTCGGGCTCTGACGATCCGAGTCCCCCGCAGATCTGCAGCGGCTGCTGCGCCGGCTCGGTGCGGAACAGCTCCGCGGTGGCCGCCTTCTGTGGCGCTCGGGAGGGCGCGGAAGTCCTGGGCCGCTGCTGCTTGGAGCGGGAAGCTGTCGTCGGGTGAGTCGGCCAGGGAGCCGTCGGGGCTCCGGAAGACGCGGCCTGCCACCGAAAAATGGCACGGCTTCCAAGTACCCTTGAATGTTATTTGGCATCTTGATGGAATCGCGGAGCAGATTAGGTGTCTGGTTTACCCGGAACAGGGCGTAGACCTTTAAAACGAATTTTTCACTCCACGGAGGAAGGCATCCGCGAAAGGGTTAATCCTCCCGCTCCCTACCACTCCAGTCCTTGGGGTCTAAAGCGACCCCCCGCCTTCATTCGGCTTTCCTTTCTTGAGGTCTACACAGACAAACCGGATTAGTGCATTAGGGAGCACCCTTTAGATATTTGGAAGAGGGTAATTATTTTCATTCTACCTTTCTTCCAAGGAGTTCAGGGTGGTGTACCTGGCTCTACTTTCCCTGTTGTATTTTCACAACAATATATACATTTATACACCCTAGTGGGATATGTTATTTTGCCCATCTCCATTTTATCTTCACAACAACTCTGTGAGGTAGGGTAGGCTGATAGTGACTAGCCCAAAATTCATCTGGTGAGCTTCTATGATTGAGCATGGATATGAATCCTGCCAGATCCTTGTTATAATAACCATTACACCACACTGTTTCTCTAGTGTAAACACAAAGGGCTGGTATAGTACCTTCACCTTTCTAGATTAATAGAGTACCTTGAGCAAGATGAAGCTGCCATAGGGATCTTTTCTTGCAGAAACACATCCCTCTAGGAGGCGAAGGGAAAAGCCTGGCTAGGCAGCTGGAGAACATGCTCATCTTCTGCAGGTTAGGGCAACGACTCCTTTCTTTTCTTCTTTAGGCTGGATCTGGGGAACTGCTCGCTGCATCAGCTGTGTCCCAGCTTTCAGGAGGCCAGCACGGCCAGTGTCATGTGAGTTCACTCTTCTGCTTTGGGGCAGGTTCCTCCCTATAAGAGCCATAAGGGAGTGTGGTAGCTGTTCAGCCCCTCCCGCTGGGACCCTTAGGACCAATCTATCCTATACGGCAGTTCCTGAGGACACCTGTCATTTTGAAGACGGACACTATCTGGAAGCAGTGAAGTCCCAGCTGGGAACTCCTTAAATTGTGCCATGGGAGCCTGAAATGTCTGGGTTGGAAAAATGGCATGTGGGGAAATACAGGTGCAATACGGACCCTGTGGCACAATTTAAAGGAGTTCCTGGATGGGAATTCACGGCTTCAAAATGGCAGGTATCACTGGGGATGCCTTTATTGACTGGTTTGTCCCTTAGTCCCTTAGTCAGGCATTTTGGGGACCCAGCCTCACCAGAGCTGTAACCAGAAAACATCTGTTGCTGGGGGGGGGGGGCAGGGGCTGGAATGATGGTATCTGAGCCTTTGCTAGCTTTTGTGTTCCTTAATTGTGGAACTAGAGTATATGTAACTGCCTGCTTTTTTGAGGTGTCATTTATCTATTTAGTACATTTTAATCCTGCCCTTTGTCCAAGGACCATTCTCTCCCCTTCATTTTGTCCTATGGCCACTCTGTGAAGTAGATGAGATGAAAGTGAGTGAGTGGCCCAATGTCACCCAGTAGGTTCCGTGGCAAGTGGGGATTTGAACCTGTGTCACCCACATCCTAATTCAGCACTGTAACTGCTGCGCCCACACTCAAGTGAATTTTTAGTGTGGGTATAATCTTTCCCTCAGAGAATAGACAGTTATTGGATTTCTGGGCTGTATACCTCCTGCCCCTTCTCAGGCTACAAAGGAAGGTCCCTAGATTTTAGCAGCCCAGTCACAGCAAGCGGTGACAGCTCTCAGGGTGACAAATCCCTCCCAGGTCTGAGGTGGAGATGCAGAACTGACCACCTGAGTGGCCTTTCTCCCTTCCTTCCTTTCTGCAGTGATCTGACCAACAATCCATTGGATCATCTCCCAGAAGATGTCTTCCGGGGATTCACCCAGCTGCAAACTCTGTAAGTCTTGGGACTGCTATTCCCACAGATCCCTTAGTTTAATTATTAGGAGTCTGCTGCTCTTGTCAGTATGTTTATTGAGATAAGGGCAGGGGAGAGGCTATGGCTCAGTGGCAGAGCCTCTGCTAGGCATGCAGAAGGTCCCAGGTTCAATCCTCAGCATCTCCAGATAAAAAAAAAATCAGGAAGCAGGTGATGTGAAAGTCCTCTACCTGAGACCCTGGAGAGCTGTTGCCAGTCTGAGTAGACAATACTGACTGCGATGGACTGGTGGTCTGACTTGGTATAAGGCAGCTTCATGTGTCCATGTGATGGATGGTTTGCTTGGGCTGGAAACGGCAGCTGCTTCTTGGGTCTGAAGGGGTAGCAGCTTTTTGTGGGTCCCACAGGCCAGGCCAGGGCCTCTGCTTCTCCTGCTCTGGGGCTGTTGTGGGGCTGTTGTGGGCAGAAGGAAAGCTGGCCTCAGCTCCATGCCTGCCTCTAAGAATATTTAATTCATCCCCAGAGCTTTGCCAGCAGAGTTGGATTGTCCTGGAGGCAACAACATATGGGATAATGTCACCACCCAAGGAAGCAGCCGGATCTGCCACAGCCAGAGGAACCCCTGCAACGGCTCTGGAGGATATGGTATGACGGGAAGGGGGGGAATGCAGTATGACAGGGGAGAAACTGATGAGCAAGAGGGAATTCCAAAAAGCAGGTCCACATGCACCCTGGGCACCATTTTAGCTGTGATATTGGTGGGAAGTAGCTAAGTGCTGTGGGTTCTCCACCCGCATGCTTCTGGAGTTGGGGCATTTGGCCGTTCCCTAACATGGTTCTGTGGGCTGCAGTGGCTCAAGTGGTTAAGATGCTGAACTGCAGAACGGAAGGTCGGTAGTTCAATGGTTCAAGACCTGAGTGCCGCATGAGAGAGTGGGCTCCCGTCTCTGGTCCCAGCTCCTGCCAACCTAGCAGTTCGAAAGCAAGAAATTGCAAGTAGATAAATAGGTACCGCTTCGGTGGGAAGGTAACAGCATTCCGTGTGCTTTGGCGTCTAGTCATGCCGGCCATATGACCACGGAAACGTCTTCGGACAGCGCTGGCTCTTCGGCTTGGAAATGGAGATGAGCACTGCATTCCTAGAGTCGGATTTGACTAGCTTTCGAGCAAGGGAAACCTTCACCTTTCCCCAAATTGGTTCTCCCATCAGAAACAATCCAGTGGGAGGCTGTTGCACAGCACCATTCAGGAATGTCTCCTGTAGGAGAGAATCTCTTTCTGGATATTACCTTTGCCCCATGCCTCAAAACAAATTGGGCTTACCATAGCTATGGAATACCGCTGAGAGGGATTCCACTCTAAAGTTTCCCATTCCTAAATATATTTGCTCAGCAATAAGGTTCAGTTTAGCTAATTCAGGGAAAGGACAAGAGCAGCCAAGGTGTGGTAGGAGATAGTTAGTGGAGGCACAAGATAGATCAAGATGGGTAGCTGTGTCAGTCTGTCTGTAGCAGTAGAAAAGAGCAAGAGTCCACTAGCACCTTAAACATTAACAAAATATCTGGTATGACCGTTCGTGAGTCTCTGCTCACTTCCTGATATCTGAAGAAGTAAGCCACGTGACTCACGAAAGCTCTTACACTGCCACATGTTTTGTTAGTCTTTAAGGTGCTACTGGACTCTTGCTCTTTTCTACTGGAGGCACAAGGCAATCTTGGAGTTATGGGCTAGAGGTGGTGCCTTGCTTTGGAGTGGGGAGGAGAGGCGGATAAGGTTGGGCCAATTGCACAGGTGATCCAAGTGGCTGGATGGGATACTAATACGAAACAGCACACGCCAATAGGTACATGCAGGGTCCCTTGTGATGTCACTGAAGATGCTTGGGTTTAGTGCGGTCTGCATGCATGGCTCGTCATGGCCTATGTTGTGCTGATGTGGGGGAAGAGACTTCCAGGCAGACAGAAGCAAACAAGCCAATTGCAGAGGTGCAATATGGAGCAAGACAATAGGGTGGGAACAATGCAGCTTGTGAGCCTTAAACTTAAGCATTAGGAGCTCTGAGTCAGTGCAGAGATGCTGTGGAGCCTGTGCATTGAACACTGGAAAGAGGGAATGCATTTTTCTCGCCTTGCCTGCCCTTTCTCTGCAGGTTGGCTGTGCCCTGAGGACTCGATTTGTGCTCCTGACGGACCTGGCCTGCACCTGTGCCTTTGCGAAGGCCCATACCATGGCTACAAATGCTTGCGCCAGGTAAGTTGATGTGGGTTTTTTGTGTGTCTGGGTGCAAAGAGGGATGGACAGGCTTTGCTTGTTTCTTAAGAGGAGGAAGTGGAAGGAGCTGGAGAGGCTTTTGTGCTCCAAGTAAGCCAGGATGGGAATTGTGCCTTGAAATGCAGGGACTCTTGGCCTCTCTGCAGCAGTCGTGCCTTTGGGCAGGGCACGGGCACCAACCCAGCCGGCCACTCTTTTTGTTTTTGCTTTGCAGGGGACCTTTCCGTACCCGATGTTCTATGGGACTTTGGGAGCTGTCACCACCAGCCTCTCCATCCTGCTGTGGGTCACCCAGCGGCGCAAAGTCAAAACCTCGTAATGGCCCATCCCTGCTGAGGAGACAGCTTTTTCTCTAGCCTGTTGCTAGGGCTGTGGCCTCTCTGTTCCTTGGTCCTTTCAGTTCGATGGCTTCCAGCAGTGGTCCCTCGTTTTCCTGTGCAGTCCTCCCTGATGTGAAACCCTTGATCTGAGCAGTTTCAGGAGGTTAGCCATGCTGGGCTGAGCAGTCACACAGGGGCTGGTTGACATTTGCATGAGCCACCGTCTCTTGCTTGTCTACACTCAGACCGAAGCACAGTGAAACAGGGCACGGATCCGGCACCTTGTTTGGCTCTTTCCAGCAAGAGGACTGGGGGGATCAGTTTTTTTGCTTTTCCGCTGGACCAGTACCTTTGGGTTTCCTGTCAAATTTGTAATAATCACAAGTGAACCGGCCTCTGCTGATGGTGTGCGGAGGAACTGCCTTGGTTGCCTGGAAGCGTTTCAGCAATTGCTTTGACTGTTGAGAAGACAGCTTTCCAACTTCCTGATGCTGAGGAAGAGGCATTGCTGACCAGCAGGCCATGCTCCTTGTTCCTTCAAACGTGGACTTCTTGTTCCATTGCTGTCGGGCTTCTAAAAGACGCCTCAAGCCGCTTAGAGGGACAGAAATGGAGACTTCCAAGCCTCCCTTCCAGCCTCACTGTACAGCAACAATGAATTTTGGGTCCTGAAGAACCGCTGTATCTCAGGATAAACAAGTCTGGGTGTTTTCCCCATGAGTGAGCTGTTCTGCAGCCAGAGGATCATTTTGTAAACAGCTGTGTGGAAGCTGGTAGTACATGACCATCCCTCGCTTTTTGCCTCTCCAGTTCCATCACTTGAAATGCACATGTTCTCTTAAACGTTTCTCCCTTGTCCCCTTGCTCCCCTCTGCCTACATGCTCCTCCCAGAACACCTGCTTGATGCTGCCTCTCTCTGCCCCTTCACATCTGTCCACAAGACCTAGTGAGCCCTTTGGTTCCCTCCTAGAGTCCTTGTCCATCCCTAGAATTTAGCCTGGACAGTTGCACATATGCATCCCCGTTGTCCTTGGATCATCCTTCCCTCTCTGCTGGAACAGAGACGGAAAGGCTCTTTTTTTTGGTTAGTCTTTGAAGTGACCTGAACATTGAGGGCATAATAGGAAAAATAAATTACTATCAATAATGGCTGGGGGGGGCGGGATAGCTTGTAGGCCTGGCTTTGGCCTCGTCTTTAAGCCCTGTTGAGTTCATGCAGGAGCCCCTCAAGCTTGTCGTATGCAGACTGGGGAGGAGCTGTGGTTCAGTGGAAGAGCCTCTGTTTTGCATGCAGAAGGCCCTAGGTTCAATCCCTGGCACCTCCAGTTAAAAGGACTGGATAGTAGGTGATGTGAAAGACCTCTGCCTGAGACCATGGAGATCCATTGCCAGTCTGACTAGACAATGCTGACCTTGATGGACCAAGGGTCTGATTCAGTACAAGGCGGCTTCTGGTGTTCATGTGTACTGTATCAGGTAGATGCTTTCTGGAATGTTTTAGAAGCCCTTCTGCAGCGCAGTGGAGTAATTTTTAGCCACTGCCCCACAAATGGCTTTGTAGTGTTCCACGAAGAGATGGGATGAGGTGGACATTGCACCTGGAGTCTGAGGGCAGGGTCTCACAGTATCAGGGGGAGTTGGTTTTTTAACCTGCAAGGTCCTGGGCATCAGTTCATATATGGCAGCCCTGGATGATACGTATCATAGAGCGGAGGTACTGAATTCCTTTGTGCTCTTCTATACAAAACTCAATTGACCATTCAGACGTTTTGTCTTTTTGAAATAACTTCCAAATTTCTTCCTTGTTAGAATGCAGCCAGCTACTGGCTTTGATTTGACTTTGTATAGTGTGTTAGCAGCAGAAGAGATCAGTAAGGGAGAGATCGTGGGAATTAGGGGAGCAAGACTTCACCCCCAGAGACAGACAGAGAACAGCAAGCAAGCAAGAGTTACCACTGTTGGCTGTTTCATGTCTGCATGCTTTTTAAAAATGTACTTTATTTGAAAAAAGGCTTGGTCAGTGTTTGATGTGTGTTTTATTAATATTGTAAACCACCTTGAGCTCTGTAAGAAGAAAGGTGGCTAATAAGTATTTTAAGTAAATATAATAAAAATAGATGTTAGCTGGCTTAAAAGCAAACACTGAGACTGTCAAGGAGTCCTGCTGGGGTGTGCAGAAGTCCCCTCTGACTTTCCCTAGGAGAACAGTTTGGGGCAGGAGATGAGAGAAGCACATGTAAGAGAAATATCTGCCTTGGGGCTCAATTATACTCTGCTGGAGAGAAAATGCTAAGTTTTCCCCAGAAGGTGTAAAAACTCAATTATGGCTGTTTCCAGCAAGAAAAAAAGAGAATAAAAACAACAACAACATCCAGTTGATACTGCAGCTTATTCTGACAAAGGGTCATTATGGGCATCACAACATCTGGGCTGGGACTGTGGGTGCCTCCTGAAGCAGCTGGGTCAGCAGCTGCTTTCTCCTGGCAACATTCCCTGCCTCAGTTCCTGCTGGTTTGTGTACTGCAGTTCCATAGGGCTGGCTTATCCTCCCATGATGCTCTGCTGCAACCCAGTTCTGCATTCCACTCCTTTACGAGGCCCCATCACCTCACAATCAGCTTTCATGGAAATGCAGCAGCAGCAGCACCACCTAATGGGTCTTGTGTGCAAAACAGGCAGAGGGGGGGTGTTCAATTAATGGTCCCAGGGGATGTGTTCCAGCATCCTTTTCATTGTCACAGAAAATGACGGGGCACCCCCCGAAGACTGTTTCCCGAACGCTTGGCAGCAAAGCCCCTTTACTTCTTGTGCTATCACATATGCTGTTCTCCCTTCGTTTGCTCCAATGGTGCAAAGAGAAAGCAATTAACAAGATGTACTTTCACAGGAATGGGATATATAGCCATATATAGCAAATAGTATGGACGCTGTTTATGTACTAGGGAGTTTGCCTTGTGTGTGATAAGAAAGGAGCTTTGTCTCAGTGCACGACTGGCATTTAGGTTCAATTCCTAGCCTCTCCAATTAAAAGATCTTGGGTTTCAGGTGTTGGGAACACGTCTTGCTCAATGTCGACAGTGCTAAGCTAGCTGGATCAGTGCTCTGAGTTAGTATAAGGAACATCAATTTTAATACTTTATTTATATCCTACCTTCCCCCCCCCCCCAAGGGCCACCAAAGCAGCTTAACACCGTTCTCCTCTCCTCCATTTTATCCTCACAACTACCCTGTGAGGTAGGTTAGGCTGAGAGTGTGTGACTGGCCCAAGGTCCCCCAGTGATCTTCTGTGGCAGAGTGGGGATCTTAACCTGGGTTTGCCCAGAGCCTAGTCCAACACTAACCACTGCGCCATGCTAGCTCATATATTCCGATTCGCCTTTTGTCTTTTTTACTTGCTGTATGGTTTTGTTTAAAATTAAATCAGGTCTGTAATTATTTGGGCCAGCTCTGAAATTCCAAGAAGAGCAGTTGTCTTTCATATCCCTGGTATATTTGGGCATAATGACTGCTGCTATAAATAATAGTCACATTAGCTGAGGATTTAATTTCACTGTTGAACAACAGTTAATTAATCTGGGCTTTTCCCAACTAGCCTCTGTTTTTTGTTTTGGTTCTGTGAACTGAACGCATCAAATCCTTTGATGCACTGGTCAAATGGCCTCTGTAACGTGAAGAATAAACTGCTGTCAAGAAGAGAATGAGTCCTGCTTATTGTCTTAAAATATGCATTTTATTTAAAAGCAGAAGGCAAAGTCTAAGATTCCTGTGACACTTCGAGTTTTTGCTTTAGCGCTGTGGCCTGCCTCCATAACTTGGATTACATTCAGCAGGGCTGAAAATGGGCCGGAAACATATGAAGTAAGAACCCAGAGCCTCTGAGCATGTGTAGAATGCTTTCTCTCACATAGTCACTGTCAGGGCTGACCCTGCCTTGGTGCAGTAACGTAACCAAGCTTTACCTTGGTTTGGTCTCAGTAACTCCCACAGTAACACGACCCATAAAGCAAAAGAAGGCTTTATTAAAAAATTTTAAAAGTATAAAAACAAGGCCTATAATTCTGTGGCAGTGCAATGTATAAAAATAACAAAATGAACTAGGGCTCCGGTCACACGGGCAGGAAAATGCAGTGGGGAAACGTGGCTGTTTGCCCCGGGGCAAACTAACGCGCGGTTAAGCGATCAGACCTCCCGTGGAGGTCTCGTGGGTAGGGAGAGGTGCTGATCACAGGACAAGCCTGCGCGCAACGAAGAAGCGTGCGGTGCGGCAAACTGGTTTTCTTTTTTTGTGTACATGACAAATGCGCACGCTTCGTTGGGTGCGTGTGCGCATCCACGGAGTCTTGGGGGGGGGAACCCTTTTTTGCAAGGGGACATGGGCGGGCGCCAGATGCCACCGGAAACGCGATCAGATGCCCGCCCTTGCCCCGCGGTTTCCGGAAACTAGTACCTCAGAGGTACTAGTTTTTTGCTGCGCATTTTCGCTGGGAAGCCTCGGTTGTGCCACGGAAGCGCTACGCTTCCCAGATGTGCCGGTGAGATCGCGCCCGGAAAATCCACCTGTCTTCCGTCTCTCTTGCGTGGCTAATGTTCCGTGTGACCGCAGCCTAGCTACACTTACTGGAGTCCTAATACAGTGCAGTTGGTTCTAAAGCAAAGAGTACCAGAGCATAATACAAATAACTTTGGCAGTGAGGAGTAGGAAGGAAATGGGAAAAAGGGAATAAAGATTATTCTCTCTAATCGTGCTTATAGAAACACGCTGGCCATAACCTCCTTACCTCCTCAACCAATCTCTGGGCAGTATCCATGGAACTTTCCAGGATGAGAGTGAGCTCCCCCTCCCATTTATTTTATTTTATTTATTTATTTAACCTTCAATTTCTATACCGCTCAGACCCGGAGGTCTCAGAGCGGTTTACAGTACTGCTGCAAGCGCAGATAATTCCTAATCTATGGCCACATTGCTTCAAGGGATGGGGACGCCTACCAGCACCCAGGGTGGGCTAGCTCTTCACTGTTCTTCTTGGCGGTCCACTCGGGTCGGCGGGTGTTTTTGCGGTCAGTCCATCCCCGGCGTTGGTTCTTCCGGCGCGCGGCCCCGCATATTCACAGCTGAACCCTGTGAGCTAATTAACAGGACAGAGTGGATGGCCTTGAGAAGTCACCACCAGAGTGTAGTGTCCAGATCACGGGAGGTGGTAGTTCCGCTCTATTCTGCTATGGTCAGGCCTCACCTGGAGTACTGTGTCCAGTTTTGGGCACCACATTTTAGGAAGGATGTTGACAAGCTCGAGCGTGTCCAGAAGAGGGCAACCAGGATGGTGAGAGGGTTGGAATCCAAGTATGATGAGGATAGGCTGAAAGGGTTGGGTATGTTTAGCCTGGGAAAGAGAAGGCTTAGAGGGGACATGATTGCAGTCTTCAAGTATTTGAAGGGCTGTCATGTAAAAGATGGAGCGGATCTATTATCTCTTGCTCCGGATTGCAAGACTAGATCTAATGGGTGGAAATTACAAGGGAGTCATTACTGGCTAAATATCAGGAGAAATTTCCTAACTGTAAGAGTGGTTGAGCAGTGGAACAGACTGCCTTGGGAGGTGGTGGGTGCTCCTTCACTGGACGTTTTCAAGCAGAGGTTGGATGACCATCTTTCAGGTATGTTGTAGGGCTATCGTTCGGCTATGCTCCTGCAGAGTGCAGGGGGTTGGACTAGATGACCTGCAAGGTCCCTTCCAATTCTAACATTCTATGATTCTAAGATGGCTTTTCTCTTGACAGTCACAAACTAACCTTCTGCCCCTTTGAAAAAGAGCAAAGGGGTGGCATGGCTTCCAGGCAGGTGGCTTCCAGGCAGGTTTAAGAGCTGATATTTCTGTTGTGGCCCAAATACATGAGTGTGAGGCATCTAGTGGCACATCAGCAGAATCTACAGCAATGGTTCATCTATCAGCATGGCTGGCTAAACTGGCCCATCCCATTAAACTGCAGAGGTCACAAGGCATGGCATGTTAAACACAGAAGTGCCACTTTGCAGATGGGGAAGACAAGCAGATGCCTGTACCTGTGCGCTTTCTGTTGTGGTCCCCACCTTGAGGAATGGCCTTGCCTGAGAAGAGGAAGGCTCCTATACTCCTAAGCATTCTGTACAATGTGTAATAGGGAATTCTTCAGACTGACACTTCCACACACGGGGACAAGGGCTGTAGTTTATGGCACAGTTTACCTCGCTTTTACCACATTGTTTTCTGATTTCTGTAATCCAGTTTTTGCTGTTGCTTGTGTCTTACACTGTTCCTATTGCTTGGCTTTAA